GCTACTTTTCACTTTATAATATTTATCTCTGGCTTATAGGAAACAAAATTCTTTAGATTTCTTTTAATGAAATTTAATAACAAGTTATAGGAAGAATTGTTAAAATAAGAAGGAAGGTTTTAATCCAGAAGTCAAAAAATAAAGCAACAAAAAGCAGAAGAAAAAAAATCAATCTGTTCACTTTAAGAGGAAAAATGAGAAACGTTGTGAGCACTTCAACCTACAAAGAATAGTTACAAAGAAAAAAAAAAGCTTTCCAAAGCAATCCAATTAGGGTTAATTTCGCCGTTCAATTCTTTTGCTTAAGGATCTAATTTGAGTTTAAAGAAAAATTTCTTTGGGCAGTCTTTCACAAAATAGAAAAAATACCTCACCAGATGGACTCACTTTCTCTTTTCACTTCCTTCCGGAGCAGTCCCAACTTCATCAGCCTGGGGGCTGCCTGTTTACCGCCATCTTGAAGCGCTTCCCTTGGGTCGATCAGGGACTTTGCGATGTCCCTGAGACCAGCAAGGCTTCATCTTCCTGATCACCATCTTTATGGGACGGTTTAGGTCTCAATGGACCATCCAGCGGCAAAAGTGTCAATGGTGGTCTCGGAATATCGGTGACATCGCAATGTGGCTCCTCCTTCTCCCTCTGCAACATTTTTAAGCTTGCTCATAAGTCCCCCTTGTTCAGCACCACTGTAACGTTGAATGGTTGCTGAATGAATGGTCGTAACCTGAAGACTACTGGTGCTGTCAAACATAGGAGTTGAAACTCTCCTAACTCAGCAAATTAGAAGAATTTCTACATGTGTGAATAATATTTTAGAATCATCTAGAAATGGAAAAGGGTAAATCAATTTTAAAAAGATCAAGGAATGTTTATATATACTTCTATCACCAAATTAAGCAAACATGATGGACCAATGGGGAGCATACATAACAATATAGGAGTGAATATACCAGACAAAGCTATTCAACGTAGGGATTAATCATGCACAGTCAAAAGTTACCTCTCAAAAATCAAAATCAATGAATGACCAAGGTTTTGGATTGTTTCTATTCTTATTGAGTTTGTAAACATACTTCTACAAGGAATAATGTATGTTTTAAGGATTGAAATAATGGGTGATCATTAGGGGTAGGATGAATTCTGGAAGCTTGCAAACTCAGTTTGTTCTATTTTTCATCCAGGCCTTTTCTTTTTCTCTGTTTCTTTCTAAATTTAGTAACTCTGCAGTCTATCTTATTTTTGCTTTGGGAATCAGGCAGCATATAAATTCAGTAAGTTTGACGATGCAAAGAAGCCATTTAAAAAAATGCTTGCTCACCTTGCTTTTCTATCTTGGCCTTTCCAATAGGAACAATGAAATCTTTTGAAAGTACTTCCTCAGACATCTCAAACGACACACCATACATTAACTCATTTTCCAACATGACAACTATGAGAAATAAAAAAAAATGTGCTTTAATCACAAATTCTTGTGCTCTTCACACATTACTTTTACAATGAAGACTCTTAAGACACAATAAAGGCCTGCACATTACCAGCTTGATACTTTGGAGTGAAACCTAGTGAAACCTAAAGTACAAAAAAATATCTGATGAAACATAAGTACCAGGAGTTCATGTTAGTTCCAAAAGTCAAAATTCTGCAGTGCGTGTGCATTCATGCAAAGTAACATTCTGGGTATGCCTTTAATATCTAATGTCAGAAATAATCAAATGGGAATCAGGAGTGTATTAGAAGCTCCGGTGTTAAAATATTTCAAGCCTGAAATAATTGATCTGTGCCTCTCTACCATGAAACACCTCCATACATTTTATACCACAAGTGAAACTTGGTTATTTAGTTCACATTAGATTTTTTGTTTTAGTTTTAAAATAGCCAAGTAAACATTGCTACTTTTTCAACTAAACCTATGCAAATAGTGAATTAATTCTGCACAGCATATGAAATGTTAATGCAAAAAATCAAAGCATGCAGTTTTACAGATTATTATTAATCTTTCAGGAGAACAGAACATTCCTGAAACTTTCAGACAATGTTTGCTAAATCCAAAACCAAAGGGTTATAGGAACTTTCCTGAAATGGTTCCTTTAATACTTATATTCCTTATTGTTAAGGTCCAGCCCCAATTAGAACATATGCGTGGTGGGAATTTTTAAACTATTCTTTTATTTTGCTTTTCTTTTCTCTTTCTTTGTAAGCCGCCCGGAGTCCTCCGGGATTGGGTGGCCTCTAAATTTAATTAATAAATAAACAAATAAACAAACAAACAAATAAACAAATAAATAAATAAATAAATGTATATAAAGTGATTTTTTGTGGGGTTTTCCTGATATTTCATCCCTCTACCCACAAAAGTTTGCCTTTGAAAACCATCAGGTCACTTCCAACCATCAAAATTCTAATTATATAATAAAAAAATGCACTAATAGGGCAGTACATTAGTTTAGGCCCACACAATTATAAACTACCTGAATTTGAAAACTTTCCTAAAAGCATGTGATAGTCCAAGACATACTTCCTGCATCTGGAAAATAGGTTGCTATTGCAAAAGTTAACTTGGGCTCCCCCAGCTTGTTGCATCCTAGTTATAAGATGTTGAGATTTTTAATAAACGTGAAAGCTTTCTAATATAAATTCAGCAATTCATACAGACAGTCCTTGTTTAGAGACTGACTTGCTTAGAGACTGTTCAGAGTTATGACCATGATGAAAAAATAACTTTGTAATCAATCCTCGCATTTACAACCTTTGCAGGTCTGTAAAGCAAAGAAAAGCTGAAGTAAGGTTGACAGCACAGTGGTGGTTTCTCTTGGTGACTGCTTTATTTAACAGTCAAATTACTGGTCCCAATTGTGGTTGCTAAACAAGGACTGTATTTTAGAGTTCATAAGAAAGTACAGAAAATGCTTGATGCAGATAAAATATAAGAAGTCAGTGCATTCATATTACATAGTAATTTTTGGGATTGGTTTACCTGGGTTATCATCCCTGATTGATGCTTTAAGGAGACCTTTTGCATCCTCTGCACTCCACGGGCTAACTACTTTCAGTCCAGGGCAATGCCCATACCAGGCTGCAAAACACTGTGAATGCTGGGCTCCTACTCCTGCTGAGGCACCATTGGGACCCCTGAAGACAATAGGGACGGACACCAACCCAGAAGACATATAGTAGGTTTTAGCTGCCGAGTTTATAATATGATCAATAGCTTGCATGGAGAAATTGAAGGTCATGAATTCACAAACAGGTCGCAAGCCAGCCTAGTAAAACAAACCAAATGGATTAATATTGAGATACAAACTCGCACAGTCTATTGCTGCTTAATCCTTCCATATCGTCCTCTATTCATTTCCTATATCTAACTGGAACTGCTGGGCCCTTGAGTACAAAACTGTAGTGCCTGTTCTTTTTAAAGAATAGTTTCTTTAAAAATCTTGTTTCTTTTAATGAATCAGGTCGGTGGGTGTGTAAACAAAAACTAAGGTATTTTTAAAGGTACTTAAAATACTTTATAACATATGGGAGCTACATACCATGGCAGCACCAACAGCAATTCCAGTAAATCCCATCTAGGGAAGGAAAACAAGCAAATTAAAAAATTCACAAACACAGTCCATTACTTTGTGAAATAAGATTTACAGATACCAATGAACTCACTTGCAAGCCAATTTGTTTAAAGATAAAATAAAAAGATTAAAAGTATTTTCTGAATTCATACCTCTGATATAGGAGTATCTATTATCCTTTTATCTCCATATTTCTTCCAAAGTCCCCTGCTAATCTGTAGATTTGAAAAAGGAGGTCAAACTGCTGCTAAAACAATATCCTTTTAAATAATTATACTAATACTTATACTAGAATGCTTTGATAGACCTTACCTTGTAAGCACCATCATACTGCGCGACCTCCTCTCCGAGCAAGAAAACTTTCTCATCCCTCTCTATCTCCTCATCTAAGGCCTGGTTTAAAGCATCACGGACAGTGACCTGTAATAAGATATCTAAGTCAAAATCCATAAACTGTTACTTCTAGTAGTTACTGTCCTGTGAGAGGAAGGAATACTGCAATATTTTAATTGGAATTTGGATTACAGTTTCGATAGTTAAGAGCAAGTATTTTACACCAATCTGACATCCTACCAAAGGATTAGAAAGAACAATGTACTGAACAGGTGAAGGGTATCTGTCTCAGTTCTGTACAGGGGAAAATGAATGGTGCCCATGTTTGAGAAATACTATTTTCCTACATTGGCACTTACAAGGGGGAAAAGACTATGTGACTACTATAGAACTTTCTGAATTATTCTGTACTACAGTTAGTCCTCAACTTACTTGAGCCCGAAATTATGCTTGTACGTTACGGCGGTCATTAAGCAGGTCACCACATGATTGCCCGATTTAATTATCATTTTTGCAGCAGTTGTTAAGCAAACTCATTTTACTCAATGGGCGTTTTTACCAGAAACTGGAAGTAAACGCCAGAAACAGGAAAAGATTGCAGAAAACCAGTCACATGATCACAGGATACTGCAAATGGTTGTATAGGCACCCAAAATGCGATCACATGTGACACGGGGGCGGGGCGGAGATGTGTGTAGTAATCAGAACTCTGGAACTGCGTCATAAGTAGCTTTGGAGAGGTTGATCATAACCTTAAGCAAGTACTATCTGTATTTTTAATGTATCTTGGCATTCTTTTGTGCATTTTCATGTTAAGTCCTGATTGCTATTATTGATTCAATAAATCACAGCTCTTTTACACATTAAACTTAGGTAAAATAATGGTTTACAAATCACAATATCTGGATTCAAAAAATGTGTTAACTTAAGACTAAGCAAATCACATTTTGATCCAGCATGATCATGAATAATTTTCTCCTGGACTGGGGCATTAATAGCACACATTCTCTGAATAGTAAGAGCACTCAAGACACTCTCTAGATCAGTGTTTTTCAACCTTTTTTGTGCAAAGGCACACTTTTTTCATGAAAAAAATCACGAGGCATACCACCATTAGAAAATGTTAAAAAATTTTTAACTCTGTGCCTATATTGACTATATATAATAATTTTTCCCACGGCACACCTTACACTATGTCACGGCACACTAG